ACAAATAGGGGGTCATTATGCCAGGTGTTCCTAGCGGAGGCCGTGGAAACTGGGACTAAGAATCTTTGCGTGATCGAAGTCACACATGTTTAGGAAAGGTTAAATTTAGGGCTTTCCGAAACGTGTCGGTCAACGAATTCTATCGCTTCAAAGCGTTGATTACTTTGGAACAAGTGAACACTACTGAGGGTGCGTTCGATTGGGAAATCTGGATTTAGATTTTAAAATCCGGATTTCGGATTTGCAATCGAACGCGAAATCCGAAAACGGATTTCAGCGCTGAGATATCTGTTTTTGGATTTTTATTTTTACCGTTCGACTGGGAAATCCGCAAAAGGATTTGAAAAACTGTTCTTAAGAACAGCGGTTTTGCACGCGCACGCATAATTAGCAAAAAGAAGACCGCTGTTCGCTAGAACAGTTTTGCAAATCCTTTTTCGGATTTCCCAATCGAACGGTAAAAAGGAAATCCATGAAATCCGGATTTGGATTTCTCAATTGAAATCCACCCTAGGACGGATTTCTCGGAGGTGAAATCTGTTTTCGGATTTCGCGGACAATTGCAAAATCCGAAATCCGGATTTCAAAATCTAAATCCGGATTTCCCAATCGAACGCAACCTGAGTAGTTGAAAAACTGTAAACTTTCATTGTATGTAAATAAGTCTTGTGGTGAGAATGCAGTTCATTTTCGGTGATGATTGAATTGACGTGCCATGTAAATCACTTTTTTGATCACTGGCAGTTATGTAATTTCTCTGGAATCGAGGCCCTTGAATTTTCGTGTATTTATGCACGCGTATAGTCTGCGACCGCAGACGTATTTCCGGTCGGTGCTAACACGTGTACTAAATCAATTCAGAAACAAATAAAAAGTATCGACGTCGATAAAGTAGGAAGTATAAATACCTTTAGCGAGTAAATAATGTTTTGTGTAGAATTAATCGCTTCCTCATTTCTCGATCTAATCTCCAAGCAAGCGAGACCGCCAGCGGCTGTAAGCGCGTTCTTGTTGTAGTAGGCAACTCGTGTTAATAATCATGTTATCCTAGTGTCGCTACTGAGCTCCCTATTATCCTTCTATGTTTAGAAATAGTTATCTATCAACTGACAGACACACGATCCATTAGTTAAAGTCGCAAATAAAGATCATAAACGAAAGGACAGCATATTTTAGATGTTAACGCCATTTTATTTTTGATTTTAATTAACTGAATTTATTTTCAATCTAAAGCAGTTTCATTTGACGAACAACTCTCATGACAAAAAGTACGCACCCCATCCTTGCCCAAAATCGTAATTTTTAATTAATGTCGTATTATTTAGTTTATTAAATGGCATTACATCAAAGTGCTCTACTCTATTTTGACTTAAGGGACACAAGTCACATAATTTGGATTTTCTTGCAAAGGATAACTGGGGCCACCTTCCAATGGTTTGCTGGGTCGAGATCACAAGATAAGTCGTTCCACTTGCCTCCTGCGCCTTTTGCCGAGCCAAACATGTTTCCACACTTTTCGCTCACGTTGTCTGGCTGGCGGCTTGCCCAAGCCGTGTAACCTTTCGCCAGTGGAGTGTCATTAATCCAGTAGAACTTGTTATCCGCCTCCCGGACAAAACCAAGCCACACACCCCAATCGGTGATGGTTTTCTGTTTCTTGAGCAAGGTGAATATGAAGTTATTCTCAGCAGCTGATTTTATTATAGCGAGGTCTCCTCCAAGCATCTGACATGTTCGTCGAGCATCGCTCCATTTCAGGGTTCGAATGTTGATGATGAGGTAACTGAAGTTTCCGTAGCGGACCCAACCATCTTGAGGGCAAACTGAAACTAGAACATATTTCGTTAGCATTATCACATTAAGCCTCGTGATATCAGCCACTCTCTTAATAAGAAGCCCGCAAATAATTTTGAAAATTTTGATGTAAGTGAACTACCTGTTGCGGTGGATTTCTCATAAAGAGAGTCGATTTTGTATTTCATCTGCTTTAAAATTTTTCGATCAGCGCTTCCAAAACCCCAGTTGTTGATGTTAAAGGTTTGGTCCATCGGTTGACGCGGTTTATCGCTTGTGTACGTCGCTGAGTTGAAAACAGCGCTTTGAGGGTTGTTTTTTGCAAAACTACTAGAAACAATGAGATAGGTAAGGAAAATGAAAACGAACTTCCATTTTCTGAACGTCATGGTTAAATCAGTTCTTTGTTGGATCAAATGAAGCTAAGAGGTAGCCTTTATGTGTACACCTCGAGGATAAGCGTCTCTTTAATACTCGTGTTTGATGACTCATCAGAGTCATGGTGAACGTGATCGCTGACATATCATTAGGGAGCTTAAGTAGCGGACGTTCTTGAAATATGTCACAATATAAAAAGTGAGGAGTAAATCTGGGGCAAACCCGGTAAATGCCACGTGTACTAACTTTAATTTCAACCGACCCCATGTCAGTTGCTATGCAATTATGGCATTACTGTTTTTGCCCCAGATTTACTCCTCTGTTTTTACATTTTTGCGACATTTTTGCCATTAGCGAATATTTGCAAATCCATTTTTTTGGTGATGCCTTCTCATATAGTCAAACCCCGTTAATACGGACACTGAGGGGGCCATAGAAAGGGTTCGTTTAAGCGGGCGGAGAGAATTTAAACGAATTTTCCTTAGGGTTAAAGCAAACTGTCCCACGGCCGTAATAACGAGTTGTCCGTATTAAGCGGGTGTCGGTAAAGCGCGGTTTGACTGTATTCTCTTAGTTAGAGTGGCTATGTCACGAGGCAAGGATATTGCAGACGATATCGAACAAAACTAAACACCACTATGAATTGGTGACTATTGAAGGCATGGCATTAAGTGACTTGAAAAAGCTGGCCTAATTTCTTTAAGTTTCAATCCATGTCATCCTTACAATCTGTTGCAACGCACGACAGGAAACAGTTTTCAGCTGAGTTTTAATGCTTAAATATAGTCTGAAATAGCATATATTAGGCCATAATTAGTGTAATGCAAAACTGTTGCGAATGATGCGAAGTCACTTGAGAACTTTTTAAAAAGATAGCAAATAGCATGCATGACTTAGTCCCTTTAAGTGTCTAAAGTGGGTCGCAAAATATATTGTTCTGGATGTAATCTTTCTTAGAGGACCTTGAGCTCAGCGCGGCCTGTAGCGGGTATCTATATAATAATGAACAATTATTGGATGAGGTTTTTGTGATATTCGGAATAATTAAGGTCGTAGCGAGATAAGTGTTATCGGCCGAGCCGAAGGCCGAAGCTGATGACACTTACCGAGACCTTGATTATTTAGGATATCACAAAAACCGAGTCTAATAATTCTTTTGTTATATACATTGTTTTGAAGAAAATAACGACAAACACACCGTCGCAAGGAACCTGAATTGATGGAATTGTTATTGGAAATCATGCATTGCGCGCGCAAACTACAGATTAGTCAGTTAACTAACTAATCTGTAGGTTGCGCTGATTTCCAAAATCAGGTGTAGGCTCTTAGCCAAAGATAATGGGTACAATGCCTAACAATGTACTTAATCACACCTTTTAGGAGCATCAAGGAACAATATCCTGAAGAGTGTAATCGATAAAATCCGGTATCGGAAAACAATTCGATGAATCGATACTATCTATAATTCCTGATTGATTGATTGATTGATATCCATGTTATCGATTGAAAAACCGGGCTTCGTTTGAAAGACCACAGGGCTCACACACAATGTGTGTGTGTAACCGATTGCTATTTTATAGTAAATGTACTGGTTTTACCGTTTGCTTCACCTATAGATGGTTTTCACAGTGACGTCATCAAATTGTAAAGTCAAAATAGCGAGGTTTTAAAAATTCTTATTTGCACTAGGATGAAGATAAACAAAAAGTAAATCTTTGTACAAGTTTCCATTCCCGTAACATGTTTTATTTCGAAAATAGCGCAATTTGAACTTCCGAGTTTTCATAGTGCGTAACACCAAGTTATGAATGCTGTCTCGTTGAAAAAAAGTCTCTTCTCTTGATTTTCAGCAGTATAACCATTTCAAGTATTAGAAGATATGTTTATGCGCACGTATGCTAAATCTTGAGTAAAAAGAAAGAGCTTTTATAGAAAAAGTGAACTCCAGATGTTTTTGTTGATTTCCAGCGGCCATATTGGTGCACGAAAACGGTACAACAATATGGCGTCTCCATACAAAGCTCTACAAAGGTGCGTGAAACGTTTCGGCAAATAACTCAGAAACTGTGCGCCACAAAGATCTGAGACATGGGCAAATTGTTTATATTTTAGTCTTTTATAATACTTCATTTTCTTGATTTTCTTCCACAGGACGGTTTCCAATTTATTTTTTGCTGCGTGACAGTGAAAACGATCTATAACGATATATCGCTAAGTATGTCTATAAATCAATATTAAATAAACGTTGAATTACCTTACCTGTGGTATATTGTCGTCCTTTTGCCTCCAAAGCGGTTTTTGAGCGATTTTGAAGGAGTCTGAGTTGGCCGTTTACTGTTCCTAATAATAGAAGGACAACTTGTCCTTCTATTATTAGAACAATAAACGTTTAACTCAAAATCCTTCAAAATCGCTCAAAAAAACCGCTTTTGAGGCAAAAGGACGACAATATACCACAGGTATGGTAATTCAACGTTTATTTAATATTGATTTATAGTCATACTTAGCGATATATCGCTGTAGGTGAAGCAAACAGTAAATCCAGTACTTTTACAATTAAAAACTATCGGCATACACGCACATTGTGCGGGCGCCCTCTGGAAAGGCTTGCGTTCAGCAAGCGATCAGCGTTATCAGTTGGGGTTTTTAGCCCAGAAAAAGCGATAGTGATTCCGCTCTTTGAATTTCTTCGCCTCAAATAAAAAGGTTGTGCTTCTTCGGAGTAAGATGATCCGGAGGGGTACTCCCTAATATAAGCCATATAGGTATATGCTTCCCCATTGGGTAAGGTTTTGCGCTGTTTTGTCCATTTTGGTCGGGAATTGGGTATGGTTTTCGAGGGAACTGGGGAGTGCTTGAACGTATGTATCGTTTCCAATTCCAAATGAGTAAGAAAGAAAGAGAAATATGCGAATTCGAAATGGATTTAAATAATTTTTTATTTTCGCCCTAATCTAAGTAATGATAACATAATTTCTGCCTAAAGGCCAGGTCTGAAAACGGATATGGATTTTAGAGTTCTAGTCTGAAAACGGGTGTGGAAAATGACATTTTTTGGTCTGAAATCGGGTCAGGATTTGAAGAACCGGGCGGCACACTCCCACCGAGAATTCCCAGGGGTACCCGCCCGGGGATGATCGAAGATTCTTACGTCATCAAGCTCGATATCAGACAAGCCCATATCTGGGGGGTTAACTTGGGAGGCATGTTGACGAACTTCCATAACTTTCCCTTTCGCCAAACGCCTGAGAAATTTAGAGATCACAGGTTTTGGACCTTCGCTTTCATTCCTTGTTGATAAGGGATGCACTGTATTGATGTCAAAAATGGATTTCCTGAAAGAGTTTGACGCAAAGAGAGCTTGTTTCAGGCGCAGTTTTATTAGAACTTTTCTCTGGTAGACCAGTTATTTTGACATTGAACTGGTAACTGTACTTCTCGGCTTCATCAATGGCGTTACCAACGGGTTCCCCTTGATGATCACAGAGTACATTTAGACAGTGGGTTATTTGCTTAAGCTGTACCAAGACATCAAAGATACAAGCTGGCAAGTCTTCATCGTCGCTCAAAAATTGTAGACTTCTCACAGTTTCGATGTTCGAAATTAACGTTTCTGTTATCGCCAGAGTTAGCAACTCCCTCGGTTGTAAACGCCTCTTTCAGAACTTCCTTCGACAGAGCGTCAACCTGCTCTTTCAATGCTTGATTGTTTTGCTTAAGCGCGGTAACCGTCTCTTTTGGCGTAATAATTGAAGAGTAGCAGCAGAGACAAGTACAGAAAAGAAATGGGAACGTCTCAATTGGGTCAGAGGGGAAAACTGTCATGTTTTCATGAGTTTATCTTGATTTTGTTACCACTGATTTTTTTAGCTATCAAATGAGATGTCTCATGAAACTTGATTTATCTGATTTTCATGTATCTGTAATTCTGTATTAATTACAGGTTCAAAGCTGAACTGATTTTTTGTTCTTTCATTATGTTTTGCTTTCACAATTCCTTCGTACTGATCACGAAAAAGAAATAGAGCAGACAGCCGGTGTTCATAGTCGTTCATTTTCTCTGCAGCCGGTCCCTGTACTGTCCCAGTCCCAGTTAACTAATTGTTTACTCTTGAAATGGGTATGTAGCTTCCATCTGCTCATGCGCGGTAAACTGGCGGTGGCAAACTGTTGGGCAAGCTGTAAACGACTATTACTAAAAACGGAGAGTAAACATTCTCGCTGAAATTGGCCATGTTGTAAACGAGCGAAGAATTACTACGACTTATGGCCACAAAGGCTCTAGCGGATCGTTTATGGGGACAGCAAAAAGATGGCGGACAGCTACAAGCCACCTGTTAAAGACTCACAAAAGGTTATTTTGACTAAAGAATATATTCCAACACACAAAACTGGTGCATGAGGGTCTTAAGGAATTCTGTAAAAGTAAAAATTTATTTGAATATCTGAAACTATTGGTGCAGCTAAGAACACAGCACTTGCAGCGCGCCATGTTTGTTGACCTTCGTGTTAATTTTCCTAACCATCCCAAGAATCTTTGTGGTCGCATATTGTTCCCAGTTTTCACTCGTTAAGAGCAAAGCGAATTCAAACCTTCAAAAGAGAAAATGGTACGATGGGAAGATTTTTATTTCGATATTTTACCGCCAGTTTATTATTAATTTGTATTTATATTCCAGCGTAATTCTACCAACAATTCTCCGATTAGTATACAAGAAGTGGGCTTCCTCATCCCTACCTTTCAATCAGATTTGCTTCTTTCTAAACCCCAGGTTCTCATTATTTAATTTAAAAACGGATATTTCGGCTCTCCTATTAAAATCCAAGAACGGATCTGATTGATCCAATTGATCTGGCCATACAGGAGGTGGAGCTTTTGAATCTGATACCAAAATCCAGATGATTTGGCTATTTGATCTGAAGCTTTTCCTGCCGTATCCGCTGATATAGGGTATATCATATCTCACTTATTCGCCTGTCATTTTAAAATTAATATTGTACTTTTGGCATTTGCTATTATAGCCAGTAGTAAGTCGCAACAATTTTAATACATAGATAGATCTATTCGACTTTCTTTACCCATGTCCATGGTAAGTTTGGAAAGGAAAGCATGTATTAAGCAATCGGTTTTATCAGTTTTCTTAGAGCGGGAGTTATGTTAACTCTATAGGCCCCACAAGAGTGATCAGCTTAAAATTTGGCCTTGTAATATTATTGCTTTATTTTAAAAACACAGTCGTCCTGGGAATTAAATCACAAAAGGTGAATTATATTCTTGATACTTGAACAAATTCTCTTCACCACTTCTATAAGAAAAGTACGCGGACAACAAATGAGAATTTAAATGCAGAGGGTTCAAAGCGTTAAGTGACAGGAGAAACATGACTCACATTCCTCTAAATATTAAACTCCACCGGCCCTCCATACACTATGACATTACTCTTCCAGTATGTATCATAATTGCCGCAAGACTCATCTCCTAATATAAGGTGGCTGTTTCATTTAGCTTATCACCCTGAAGTTCTATGAAAGACCAGAAAAATCGCAACATTATCAGTAGGCTATGTACACCAGTATGTAGCCGTCGTTTTCCCAATGTGAAAAGCACGAAACACTTGCCAGGGCATTGGGCAAAAAGCAGGAAAAACAATAGCCCTCTCCATCCCTTCCCCGCTCTTTTGAATCTGCTCCTTTAACCGCGCGCCCCTTTCGCATAATCTCACCCTTGGCTAAATGAAAACGAAAGCGACACTAAAACGACTTTTACGAAGGGTACATTATCAGCGACTGTGTTGTTTTTCGCTTGGATTTTGTTGATATTGCTGTCCGCGGCTATGGAAAGACTGATTAAGTGGTAGATGATCCATCTTACGGCACATTATTTCCTTTCTTAGCTCAGTAATAATCCTTAAAATTCGATTCATGATCTCACCTTAATGGATTTTAGTAAAGAAACACACCAAAATTTTATAGCATTACTAAAAGTTTGGGGGCAAGGGATAGCGCAGTGGTGCTCGCCTCCCACAAATAGGGCATTTGCGCGATGACGTCATTTTACTACCACGACCAGAATCCTTCAGAATTTTGTTTTCTTATGCAAATTAGGGCTTTTGTTTTTTAATCCTTGCAGGGATAACCGAATTTAAATATGTAAGAAAAAACGAAAAGGATTCTGGTTATAGTAGTAAAATGACGCCATCATGCAAACTGCAAATGGCCTATTTGGCCCGGGTTCAAATCCCGGCGTCGACGCCATATGTGGGTTGAGTTTGTTGTTGGTTCTCACCCTAGCCAGCGAAAACATCCGTCTCTCCTCGCTCTTCGCCGCTGGGGACGTTTCGCGAGGAGGAACGTCTGCGACTCAGCGACAGAAATTGACCACTCCAGAAAATACAATAACATACCACAATGCTCTTTGTTTGTCACACCAAACTTTTGCGTAAGCATTGTCTTCAGTTTCTCCTGGGAGTTAAAATGGCCCCAAGAGAAACTGAAAACAATGCTTATGCAAAATTTCGGGTGACAAACAAAGAGCATTATGGTATGTTATTGTATTTTCTGGAGTGGTCAATTCCATACTGATGATGTAAAATCAGTCCGGAATCCGGTCAGAAGCGCTGATTGGTCGACGGAGTAGTTACATTGTTTTAGCTATTGTTTACGAATGACAGACAAAAGACAAAAGGCCACAAAGGTCAAATGTAAACGCGAAGAATCCCTAACAAAACAGTCATTATTTCTGGAATATAGTCTTCTCTAGAAGAAGCATTTGAGTTTTGCTGGAGCTCGTCGGCAGATGAACACAACACTTCACCAAAATCGACCAGAAGACACCCAAAATTGGACAAATTTATATTTGGAACCCCATGACTACCGGATTCATTATGTAAACATTGATTTGCGTCGTCAGTATGGAATTTCTGTCGCTGAGTCGCAGACGCTCCTCCTCGCAAAGCGTCCCCAACGGCGAAGTGAGATGAAAAACGGATGTTTTCGCAGGCTATTCTCTCCCTTGCTCCCAGAGGTTTTTCTCCGGGTACTCATGGTTTTCCCCTCTCCTCAAAAACCAACATTTCCAAATTCCAATTCGACAAGGAATCACTTTCGGCATGGATTGGACTTCTGGATGGGACACGGATCAGGACCTTTGTAAACTTATTGTACCTTGCCGAATCAGGGATAATCATTGGAACTATGTTAACTTTGAGACCTTGGAAACACATTGCAATTAATTTTTAACCGTATCAAGAGCATCTTGGAATATTAAACTTTCATCTTGGATTCAACATTGGAACTTTATCGAACTTTGTAACCCTGGGTTCGACCCTGGATAAAGCAAGCGGATGTTTTGTTTTGTTTTGTTCCATTAACCTAAAACCACAATGTTTATTTCTCTTTGATAAAGCTACCTGTGGCAACGTACTATCAAGATATGACATATCTTTATACATATAGTTCCTGTTCAGGTTAATCAGAGAGCATTATGCGCATGTTCTCCATTACTTGTTTCCGTTAACATTCCAATTTAAGTTACACGGGTAAACCTTAGTTTGATGCAAAATAACTTCTTTTTCTCATCCAAATCGTGCTACGAAAATACCTACATAGCGATCGATCAAAACAAGATCAACTCCATCCTTGCGACCACTGATAACTATAAATTTAGCTTGTGTAGCAGGTGTCGAAAGGGGTAGGGGATAGGGAGGAAGAAAAAAGGGGATGTGGATTGGGGAGAAATGGTAGCCTGCCACGCACGCAGGCTACTATGTATTCAGTCATAAACACATTAAACCAACCCATACAGATAACCTACTCATCGATGCTCATAACATGACACATCTTTCCGGTTTCCCTAATTTTTCCAAATTCAGATAGAACGCCATTATGCTTCCATAGACCAACGCATCCCACGGAAACGACTTTAGGCGTCTTGTTTTCTCTATTTTTGCTTTAAACCAGCAGAGAATCCATTTACATTAAAAGAAGAGACTGCAGGTCCTTATCTTAATAAATCCGAGCTGATCCAAAGTCTTGTCAGTTTTGATCTGCTTTTGTATCATTTACGTTATTCATTAGCTTTACTCAGAAGGGCGCCTCAAATCAATTGGATTTTTTTTTTTCGGTTGACATTTGGCCTTTTTAATCTGTTTTGAAAGTTTTTCACTTAGTTTGCTTTTTTCTTGCAAAGTATAACTGGGGTATACTTCAGGTTGTCTGGAACAACTGAGCAAAATAGGTCGTTCCACTTTCCAGCCCAATCTGCTTTACCGAACATGTTTCCACGCTTTTCCCCCACGTTGTTCGGCACGCCCCTTCCCCAAGCCGTGTAACCATTTGCCATTGCAGTGCCATCAATCCGATAAAATTTATTGTCGGCTTTGCGTACGAATCCAAGCCAGACCCCCCAATTCTGGACTGTTGACTGTTTTATTACCAGTTTGAATATAAAGGCATTTTCAGCTGCAGATCTGATTATAGCGAGATCTCCTCCGAGCATCTGGCATCAAGTTCTTCCAGCATGAGTCCAATTTAAGGTTGGGATGTCAATAATGAGATAGCTGTTATTGGCAAAACTAACCCAACCATCTTCTGCGCAAACTGTTAAAAAAAGGAATTCAGTTAGACACATTTTGCTTTACAAGTTTACAACACATAGTTTGGCAAGTTTTTAAGAGAAACCTTGATAAAAACACATCACTTCCCATTGAAAAAACCCGGGGGAGTGCTCAGCAAAGATTTACCTGAGAGGCACCGCCTAGAGATCCAACTCATTCCCCCTTTCTTTCATCATGTCTACAGAATAGATACCCCGCCCTTTTTCGCATAAATATATGTACCTTTCACTGCAAAATGGTATCCATTTTGTCCTACTTCTGAAGAGCACTAAATCGACGAGTCTTCCTATAGTATGAATGAAGTTTTGATTAAAACGGCCCTTTCAACACCCCGAAAATACCTTTACCAGTATAAGGATAAATTCCCCTGTGCTTTCATACCATGACTTCAATTCGCGAAATCCTTAGGCCGTTACAAAAAGTAACTTTTCAAGAATAGAAACACAGATAAACCTCGAGTTACCTCTAGATGTCGATTTTTTATGCAAAGAGTCGATCTTGTATTTCATCTCCATCAACATTTTACGGTCATCGTTCCCTAGGCCCCAGTTGTTGATCTGATTTTGGATGTTATTAACTTGTTGAGGTCGCTGATCATCACCAGGTGATTTCACGTTGAGGTTGGTAGGTGTTCCTTGTGACGAACCACCAAAACTAAGGATAACGGCAGCTGCAAAAACGATTAACAAATTACGAAACATGTTTGAGGGCTCGCCCGAGCTAATGAAGTATCCCTTGCAAATGTGCGTGTCTTGGAATTGTTATAAATGCGATCTTTTATGGGAAAACAGCCAAACCAAATAGCGGAATGTTTGGGGAGATAAAGTAAAAGAAAAATACGCTCGCTAATAGCATTAGGCAGGTGTCAAAGAGTATGCCTATTAAGTTAAGATTATAGTTCAGAGTATGGAAAAACAAATTAGTCATTTTCCTACCATTTTCTGTCCCAGGTCTAAATTAGGCAAAACAAGCAGTGCCTGCTAGTACTGGTTACTTTGGCCTGATGCCTTCCCTCAGACACACAGATCAAACCGATAAATCGTAACCTGTAAATTGGCCGCCGCCTGAGGAATATGGTGTGTTCGAACCGGCCTTTATAACATGAAATTGTATTTAGGGGCTGACCAATTAACTTTAGAAAAGGAACGGATGGATAATGTAGATGGGCAGATGGGAGATTTTGTTGGGCAATCATTTGTTTTCCTATCCTACTACTCTGATCGAAGATAATTTCCCATTTTTGGGTGTACACTTAACACAGCTGTAAAGTCGATATAAGTTTTTTTTTCATTCCATGACTGTGTGCAGATTATTTTTTCTCTAAAATCACCGAGGCTCTCCCTCAAAAGTCACATGGTTCTCTCCTAAAGTTAAAGATTGATTGGTGAATTTCTTTGCAATAGTTTATTGTTTGAAGTAAATTAAAAATTTGTTGACGGGATTTTCGCTTTTATCCTTCGGGCTAAATCTACATACTATATATTTTTGTTCGTACTTCGAGTTAACAACAAACAAGAGCCCTTCTTGGAACTGTCCAGCTTTCACCAATGAAAAGACACAGAGGTGAACATTTCTCCGACAAAAGGTTCTCCGTTGACAACTCCCATGTTAAACGCGTGGGGAGCTTCTTGCCTCATTGTTACGTAAATTTTCGATTTTGGTATTACCTTCTGTAAGGTGTCCGAGGTGGAAAGCCAATGTATTTATTCTCCTGACAAAGTATCAATAAAAGGCGACATGCATGCATGATATGGTAACAGTCAACACCTGGCAATATACTACTTCAGTATATGGAAGAAGTCGAGATTTGGCCACGCCCTGGTTACTACTCAACTACTACCTTCAACCTAGTAAGCTGTTTTCAATCGAGTATCATGTAGAATAATGGCTGTTGAAGCTCGTTGTCAATTCTTTGCAAAAGACGTAAAAAGATTACAATATGACCAACCTCATGTTATAAAGCTTCTTTAATAATCATCAAGATTACGCGTTGCGGTCTTTTATGTACCGGTAATACTAAAGGTCTTAAACAGCACTTAAAATTTTTTCATTATGAGCAGTACTTTGAAGTCACCAAGAAGGTTAATCGTAAACACGCAGTATCAATCATTTCCGTTTGAATGTTAAAATAACATGAACCTTGATTTAATCATCACATTATATTATTATTTCGGAGTATCTAGATCATTACGATTGTTAAAAGTGGCCTCTTTAGTTTCTGCGGTTGTTAATCACTGTACACGACGAATTTATTTCGTAATTAGAGCAAGGCTTCATGCTAATGGGCGAATGTGCATGTGTTTTAGGGAGCGAAAATATGTTTATAAGACTCTTTATGGGAAAACAGCCAAAACCTTTGGAATGTGCGGGGACCTAAAAAGAAAGAAAAAAAAAATGACGTTTAAGGCTCGTGCCAATAAAGCAAGCTTATGTTTTTTTTAAACTTACGTCAAAACAAAAAGGCAGAGCTGTTGTGTTACTCACCAGCGAAGAGAGAATATAGTGAAAGAAACTCTCTCGGAGCAAAATGATAGGCGGTTTAATTGTTTCAGAACTAATTACATAACGGCTGTCTTTGGAAACCCCCGAGGGATTTTTCTGTTTAACTAGTCAATACAACTAAAACCGAGTGAAATTTGGGAGGACATGAAAAGATAAAATGATACACCTATGGTAATGTTGTAGAGGCGATCGATTGAACAAAAGAAAGTTTCAGCTATTTTGGCGATTATCGAATCCTGGATCATGCTTGAACACATCCTGCTAATGAATGAAGTGCTAGCCACTAATGTGAGGTTCACACTTGCCAAAGAGTGTCACAGAAACCTATCCGATATTAGACATTGTACTTTCAAGATCGGCGCTGTGAAGAGAGCCCTATTCTATTTCGGCCCTCTTCCAACCGTTTAAGAACCCTCACCCCCCACCCTCCCCTCTCCCTACTTCCGTACCCCTTCCGCTCCCTATTTTCCTGGGCTCCCACCACCTTGTCCTTCCGACGAGCTTGTAGTGTTTTTGTTAAGTAAATTTTTGATCTTGCTATTACTTCCGTGGAGGTGTAGTCGTCCTGGATGGGACGTCCATGTATTTAGTCCTCAGTGTAGTAATGAAAACCGACCTACAGGATGACGAGCATCATCACGCATGTTACATGCACCTTGCTGGTCTGGTCAAGTAGAGCTTTAACCACGCCTTACATTGTCTTATTCAGATCAGGCAAGTTTTTAAATAGTTGTCCCCTATAACTTGCTTTTCACCCCAACCACTGCTTTCAAAAAAAGTTAATAAATCACCCAATTAGTTTTCAACTTGATATAGGCTTGTTTCAATCTATACTATGCTAGAGTGTTTTTGTTAAAGCTTCAGGATGTTATCGATTTTTTGTCCTTTAATGATGTAAGACCAGCCTTTTGATATAAAGCTACTTGACGAATTATTAAGGTAGGCCCCACGGCTTACTCAGCTTACGCTGTGTCTGTGTTCTTTGCACCAGTAATCCCCAAAAATCCTCGCGTTTAGTATAAACAGTGCTCTTAGATGTTATTTAAGGTGATTCCATAGTAAAAGAACCTAACATAGATTTTAGCTAAAACTTGGTACACTGATGTAACAAGTCAAGAAGATGATAAAAAAGTAATAAAAAGTGGGGGTCACCGTGCTCGTTTTGACGTTTCGCTGATCATCACCAGGTGATTTCACGTTGAGGTTGGTAGGTGTTCCTTGTGACGAACCACCAAAACTAAGGATAACGGCAGCTGCAAAAACGATTAACAAATTACGAAACATGTTTGAGGGCTCGCCCGAGCTAATGAAGTATCCCTTGCAAATGTGCGTGTCTTGGAATTGTTATAAATGCGATCTTTTATGGGAAAACAGCCAAACCAAATAGCGGAATGTTTGGGGAGATAAAGTAAAAGAAAAATACGCTCGCTAATAGCATTAGGCAGGTGTCAAAGAGTATGCCTATTAAGTTAAGATTATAGTTCAGAGTATGGAAAAACAAATTAGTCATTTTCCTACCATTTTCTGTCCCAGGTCTAAATTAGGCAAAACAAGCAGTGCCTGCTAGTACTGGTTACTTTGGCCTGATGCCTTCCCTCAGACACACAGATCAAACCGATAAATCGTAACCTGTAAATTGGCCGCCGCCTGAGGAATATGGTGTGTTCGAACCGACCTTTATAACATGAAATTGTATTTAGGGGCTGACCAATTAACTTTAGAAAAGGAACGGATGGATAATGTAGATGGGCAGATGGCAGATTTTGTTGGGCAATCATTTGTTTTCCTATCCTACTACTCTGATCGAAGATAATTTCCCATTTTTGGGTGTACACTTAACACAGCTGTAAAGTCGATATAAGTTTTTTTTTCATTCCATGACTGTGTGCAGATTATTTTTTCTCTAAAATCACCGAGGCTCTCCCTCAAAAGTCACATGGTTCTCTCCTAAAGTTAAAGATTGATTGGTGAATTTCTTTGCAATAGTTTATTGTTTGAAGTAAATTAAAAATTTGTTGACGGGATTTTCGCTTTTATCCTTCGGGCTAAATCTACATACTATATATTTTTGTTCGTACTTCGAGTTAACAACAAACAAGAGCCCTTCTTGGAACTGTCCAGCTTTCACCAATGAAAAGACACAGAGGTGAACATTTCTCCGACAAAAGGTTCTCCGTTGACAACTCCCATGTTAAACGCGTGGGGAGCTTCTTGCCTCATTGTTACGTAAATTTTCGATTTTGGTATTACCTTCTGTAAGGTGTCCGAGGTGGAAAGCCAATGTATTTATTCTCCTGACAAAGTATCAATAAAAGGCGACATGCATGCATGATATGGTAACAGTCAACACCTGGCAATATACTACTTCAGTATATGGAAG